CACAAAATGCTATTCCGGTTTCCTAGAAAAAAGTACTATAAACTGTAATGGCCTCTTTTATTACCAGCAGGCTATGAATGTGTAAGTATAATTGAATGGAGAAAAATGTTCCTAAAATAAATTTTCAGAGGGTTTTAGTGATGAGAAGTAGAAACATTGTCTTCACTTTTGGTAACTATTTGAAGACAACAATTTATTATAGGTCTTTTTAATTTTACGTAGTGTTTAATTCACTAGCACGTACTAATTGATCAAGATTTTTGTTCTAGGGATGGGATTTACTAAGTTAGGTTGTTTATGAGCTACCATTATAAATAAAATCTTAAATTCTGTTATGAATTAGAATTTTGTGATATGCCAGGATTCATGAATGTCAGACTTAAGAGCAGTGGTACAAGGTTTCAGCTCAATGACCAGCTGGACTTTGAATGCTATGATGGATATGAAAACAGACTTGGACACATCACAGGCTCCATAGTCTGTGGTCACACTGGTTGGTCTGATACACCCACATGTTATGATAAGTTACCTTTTTTTCAGGTATTCTTTTTTTTTTTAGGATAAAAAAAATCTGTAATTGTTGAATGACTATGTTGTGCAGCTGAAACTAATATACCATTGTCAACTATACTTCAATGAAAAAAAAAACACTTTTTGTCTTCAACTAGCAGTTATCAGTTAACTGGAAATAAGGTTTGTAAAAGGAACACTGAGTTAAAAAATGCTATGTGTTCCTTTTAAAAAAGTTTGAATTATCTAGAGGTATTCTTAAGGCACAATAATTAAAATCAAGGTGAATGCTTCTGATTTAATGTCAGCTGGGAAGAGAAGGTGTTCTGAAACTCAAAGAGAATATTCTATCTTTAACACAGTACATTAACGTAATGTTTCCGATGGGTCATATACATCACAGATTTGTGATTAAAGTATAACTGTTTTGTTTTACTAAATGAAAGCTTTTAAATTATTTTAAACTTAGCTCTCCTTAGTAACACTGTAGTTTCTTACAACTTCCTCAGCTATTTTGCTCTTGAGTTTCTGCTTGACCCCTCCCACCTTGAGAGTTAATTTCTACAGGTCTCGAGAGGATCTCTTTATTTTCTGACTTTGACAAGTTCTGTGGATGGTTGCATGAATCTCTTTTGTGTTTGCCACAATTCCAGAATTAGAAAGAGAGCTTGGATGTGTGGGAAAATAAGTGGATGTAGAGTGTGCAAAGCTTTGACAACAAAAGAGTATTTGGGAAATATCTTGGTAAGTGGATTCCAGTCTTTATGCGGGAGAATTTTATGAGCTGAGGCTGGATAAGAGGCTAAGGAAAGACTATTTAGGTTATATTAGGGCATCTCAGCATTTAGATTAATTTTATCATTGATAAAAAGCCATAAACGAGTCTTTAAGCAAAGGAATGATGTAATTTGATTTTAATTTCTGAATGTTGTTCATTTCTCTCACCACTGCCTCCCTTGTATACTCTTCTTGTGGTAGGCAAGAAAATATTCAGGAGTCCTTGTAGAGTGAGAAAAGTGGGGATCACATAGGGTGATGGCTGAGTGGATGCAGAACAGAGGACAGATCTGGGATATATTTTGGTGGTAGAAAGCACAGAAAATATTACTAAATGTTGGGTGTGAGAAAGAGTAACAAATCAAGGGTTCTCTTTTTATTTGATTTTTTTTTAAAGTACCCAGGTAAATACCAGTGGCATTCTGTGAAATGATGCTGGCAGGAGAGAGAGCACTTTGGGAGGAATATTACAAGTTCTGACTTGGACACATCATGGCTGACCTGCCATGGACAATAAAAGTTGGATATGTAAACTACAGAGTTGGATAGATGGGTCTAGCCAGTAGATATACATTTGGGATTATCACCATGTAAAAGATGAAATTGGAAAAGAATATAGAATGATAAGAACAGAGAGCTCAGGACTGAGCCCTGAAGCATTCTAACATTTAGGTGTCAGACAGAAGAGGAATAGGTAGCCAAGTAGATAGAAAAAATGGAGGATGTGGAAATTGGGAGGAAAAAATGTAGGAATGAATGTTGTCATAGAAATGGAGAGAAGAAAATGACTAAAGGAAGAGAAAATACACCAGAATGATTAATAGCGAAGCCTGTGGGTCAGATGGGCTCTCATTCTAATTCCACTACTTGCTAAGCATGTATCTTAGGGCAACATATCAAGCCTACTTGAACCTTTGTCGACTCTTTATCTGTAAAGGGCTTTAGAATGTGTAATTGTTCTAATATTTCAAAAGGTTGCTTTGGTTAGACTGAATAAGCTGATATGTCTACCTAGAAGACTGAAAATATCACAGATTTGGCTATTTGGAGGCCAGCAATAACTGTAATAGAAATAGTTTTGGAAGGAATACATGGTGCAGAACCTAAATAGAGTTTACTGAAGAAAAAACAGTAAGAACTTCAGTATAGCTTGTGGTCATAACTCTTTAAAGACATTTGTGTGAATATGGTGGATAGGAAGTGCAGAATATTGCTAGAGGAAATCATACACCAAAGGGAAGATTCTTTTTTTTTTTAAAGATGGAGGACATTAGAGCCAAGTGAATGCTAAATAGGATATAATAGAGACTGAATACTCGAGGTAGACATTTCCCTGTGGGGGTGGGAGGGAAAGGGAACTGGAGCTCTGTGGAAGTATGAGGTTTCTGTGGCAACACAGCTGTTTCCAACTTTGTAATAGGAGGAAGGAAGGAAAACAGATGTGTAAATCTCATGCTGGAAAGAAGCAGGAGCTGATGTAAAAGTAAAGTAAAAAAGCTGATGTGAAAGTAAAAGAGTAAATTGTAAAAAACAATTTACACTTTCCTTTGAACTGTAAGACAGAGTCACCTGAGATTGAATGGTGCACGGGGAAAGGAGGAGAAGGAACACTTAGGAAGAATAAAAAAGGTTTAAAATAGAGACTTCAAGAAAGGAGCACACAGTGAGTTTATTATTGAGATGAGGTAGACTTGCTTAGTAGTCTCTTAGTTCCAGTTAAAGTTGATTAATTCAAGGCTGTCAACAAACGCCTGTTTATGAGCTAGAAATAGGCCAGGAGAGAATGGTGAAAACCCACAAACATGGCTCTGCCTTTTGGGAGCTTTCATTCCAATATTAAAACAACAACAACAACAACAACAACAACAACAAAACAACAAACCAACAACAACAACAACAACAAAAACCTAAAAAACCCAACAAATTAAGCCAAATAATGAACAGGATGATAAAAACATTTTAAATATATTTTATCCATAACTGTGTTCAAAGAAACAAAAGAATCCAAGAACTTAGAAAATGGGAGGGCAAGGATGGAGGTCTCTATTTTCTATAGGATGGCATGTGCACAAAGAAAGGTTGAAAACCCTTCAGGATAGAGATGGGGTTCTATGTGAAAGCTGAAGCAGTGAAGAATTTGAGCTCTTTAAAAAATCCAAAGATCATTAGCCTGGTGATGATGGGTATTAAAGAGGACACATACTGCACGGAGCACTGGGTGTTATACGCAAACAATGAACCATGGAGCACTACATCAAAAACTAATGATGTATGGTGATTAATATAATAAAAAATAATAATAATAAAATCCAAAGATCAAAAAGCCTGGAGTCTGGATTGCTAGGGGGAGAGAGATGTCAGTTATATTGGAAGTGTAGGCAGGAAATGGATCATAAAGAGCTTGGATTTTCTTCTAAGTAAAAGGGGAGGCTTTTAAGATGATCATGAATTTCTTTTCTGGGACTAGAGGCAGATCCAGGTTTTATGAAATCAGAAGTTTTACAATGTTGAGGGGCCCTCTTTAGAAAAGAATTCAAAATCATGAATATGTAATTCCTGTGATCTTTCCAATGTCACCACATGTCAGAAAAATGGGACTGAGTAGAAGTTGGAGTGACAGGGACAGTGGTAAAAACTGATGTGGCCAATAAGGCTTTTATTGCAAATTTTATAAAACTTATGACCTTGTGAACTCATTGGTAGGAATTCACCCGCATGGTAAAGCCTCCCAAAATTGAATGAACAAATGACAGTTTAATGTTATTTTCAAGTAATTTCCCTCTACCATGTAGCAGAAAATTGCACAAAGATTGGCTGATAGCTGAGTTTATTGTCCTGGGAATTCTCCTTTGTGGAGAGTTTTCCAAAGAATTATTGTTGGGGCGCCTGGGTGGCTCAGTTGTTTAAGTACCTGACTTCGGTTCAGTTCATGATCTCAGGACCGTGGGATCAAGCCCTGCATTGGGCTCCACACTCAGTGGGGAGTCTGATTATCCCTCTCCCTCCCCTCCCCCCCATACATGCTCTCTCTCTCTCAAATAAATAGAATCTTTAAAAAAAAAAAGAATTACTATTATCATAAACCACTTAAGCCAAACAGTGCTTCTAGCAATCTTAAATAAATGTACACTTAAAAAAAATTTGTACTAGTATTTCTAAGTATCAGTGCCTGGATTTATGATTTTGACTTTTGGATAAAGACAAATATCTCTAATTCAGGGTATGCCCATTCAAACTCTTCTTTATAGTACATTTTAAAAGTCAGTATCTCTATATAACAGTTGGAAAATAGCCAACAGACAAGATTTATTATTATTATTATTATTATTATTGTTTTTTGGTGTTAAGGCAGCATTTTTCACAATGTGATGAGATAAACAGAAAGTATATAAACAAATAAAAGAATTGCTACGTAGAAGACTGAAATAGAATTTTAGGAGAGAATCCCTGTAGTTCTCATCAAGTGTGACCTTCTCAACTAAGCTACAAAACTCAACATTAAAGCAAAAACAAATTTGCGGAATTATTTTTTGTGGCATTACTTTTAAGAATAGTTATCTTACACCTAATTTTATGATTATGTATAAATACTTGACTTTAGATAGTATGAATATTCTTTTTAGTATGATTCTAATTTTTAAATTTCAGTTTTTAATTTTATAAATTAGCAAGTTAGCAAATTAGCAAGATTCCTAATTAGAAAAATGCAGTTTTTTTTAAATACAGTTTTTGACAATACTTAGCAATGTCACAATTATAACACATTTTAAGGAATAATTTTATACCTTCCTAATTTGAATCAGAACAATTAACAATTTACTAAGAGTTACTATAATTATAGGTATAATAAGAATAGGTAATTGTATATTGCATAAATATTCAGGACATCTAGAATATGACTATGTGGCCTTGAACACGTTTCTTCATTTTCTTTCGTGTTTCAGTTTGATTTCTTCACTTATAAAGTATCGATTAAGCTTTTTAATTGTTCCTCTAACTAAAATACATTAGAAATGTTTCTCTTTAGAGTTCTAGGTCCCCAATTATATTAAAGAAAAATACCAATTTTTATTTAAGTGTGCAATTTTAAAATTGTAGCTTTAGTTTTTTTAATGTGAGACAATGCTTTTCTGACAGTCTAAAAAAATATAACATTAAATTTTATAAATGTCAGTGATAAAAATCAGATCCAGTATAGGCAAACTGACTTTACAAATAAATTTTTAGGACACATCTATTGCTGCTCAACCCCTTAATATTTCTGAGTCCTGTATGGATTTAGAGGGCATATAAAATCTAATATGTAACAGTTTTCAAAGAAGAGAATTTATCAGAAGCTCCTCTGTATATGCAACACCTTGCCCCCCATTATTATGTGACACATGTAAAATTTACCTTGGCAATGATTAATTATATATTCTTATTAAATTCTTTTACCTTTTTTTTTTATAGAAAGAGAATGTGAGATTCCTCTAATAGAAAAATACTTAAATGTTGAGCCCAGAAAAGACAAATATAGAGTTGGAGATATGTTGAAATTCTCCTGCAGACAAAGATTCACAAGAGTTGGATCAGATTCGGTTCAGTGTTATCACTTTGGATGGTCCCCCTAATTTTCCAACATGTAAAGGTGAATATTTATCCTACAATTGCTGAAACAAGAATTAGAAATTAATATCCAATTGTTTATTGAAATATGTAGTAGAAGTATCCATAGATATTTACAGGGAGTCTGACACTGAAGGGACTTTTGTTACTTTTCTTTTTGCCTACAATTCCACCATTAGTATTGAACATTTTTAATAGCATCAGCCTTAACTCATTTCATTGATTATGTCTAAATGATATTAAGCAACTTTTGGTCAAGTCCATCACATGTATAGCTTAATCAAAGTTAAAATATGTTGATCAAATGCTTATCTCTTGTCTCAAATGATGGTACTTTTTTAAAAAGTTTTGATAAAATATTGCATGCAATATGATTAATATACTTGTACAGCCATATTTACTAATTGGTTTGGATACATCTTTAGAATATCTAGATCATTGAACATATTTTTTTGCTACTTTTTTCCTATTTGTCTGAACTATACTTTCAAAGCTGAATTCAGGGCTTTACCGAGGTTTTTAATCCACTCTTGAAGTTTCTTATGTTTATAGGATTGTAAGGTAGTCAGAAAATATTTTTTGTGTCTTTAGTTTTTTTATGTGTCATATCTAAGATATTTTGCTAATCTCAGTTCACAAAGATTTTCTCCTATGTTTTTTAAAGGCTTTGGTTTTATATTTAATGCTCTACTTTTAGTTAATTTTTGTATATGAATATGAGATATGATAGAATCAAAGCTCTGATTTGATTTGTATATGGGTATCCAATTGTTCTACCTCAATTTGTAGAAAAAAAACGATTATTTTCCCCTGAATTGCCTTTTGCAGCTCTGTCAAAAATCAATTGTTGATATAAATGTGAGTCTATTTCTGAGCTCCATTCTGTTTTTTATCATCTGTCTTTATGCTCAAACCACAGCTTCTTAATTACTGTTTTGTAGTAAGTATTGAAATCACATAATGTTAGTCCTTCAAACTTTTCTTCTTTTAGCCATTCTAGGTTCTTTGCATTTCCATGTGAATATTAAAATCAGTTTGTCAATTTCTGCAAAAAAAACCTGTAGTGATTTTGATTGGGGTAATATTGAATCTATAGATCATTGGGGAAAATTGATATCTTAACAATATTAAATCTTATGAACTTTATTTCTTCTTTTATTTGGGCCTATAGATTATCTCTATGTTTTCTCATTTACAGTTTATCAGTTTTACATGTCTTTAACCAGATTTATGCCTATATATATTGAATGTATTTTCAAGGCTTTTAATATACTTCTAATAGGCTAGTTCAATATAAGTAATAGAATCGGGAAATGAATCTATTGTAAACCCCATTTTTAAAATTGCTTAAGAATACTATAATAAATTATGTCATGAATAATAAATTGATTAAAGAAAAAACCTCTCTGTTTTAGTGCATTTTTAAGATATAAAGTAGACACTGTAACCATCATTTACACAGTATTTCTACTGTAGAGCTAGTAAAATTGTGTGGCACACATCCTCAACTCCCCAATGGGGAGGTTAAAGAAAGAAACAAAGAAAATTATGAACACAATGAATTGGTGGAATATGTTTGCAAACCTGGATTTTTGATGAAGGATCCTAATAAAATTCAATGTGTTGATAGAAAATGGACAACGTTGCCTATATGTATTGGTAATGTATAAAAAACATGAATATTCAAACTTGATTAAATCAACACTTTTTGTTTATATTCATATAACCACATAAATTATACTTTAAAGATAAACATATTTTTGTGAAATTTTTACAGAGGCCAGCACATGTGGTGATATACCCGGACTTGATTATGGCTATATTGTTGAGTTTTCTGCCCCTCCCTATCACCATGGAGATTCAGTGGAGTTCAATTGCAGAGAAACATTTACATTGATTGGACACAGATCAATTACATGTGTTAGAGGAATGTGGACCCAACCTCTTCAGTGTGTTGGTGAGAATAGCATTTCTTTTTTTTAATTAAAAAAACATTTTTTTGAAATTGTTTTAAGATTTTCTTTATTTATTTGAGAAAGAGTGTGAGCAAGAGCACAAGTAGGGTGGAGGGGCGGGGAGAGAGAGAGCAGCAGACTCCCTGCTGAGCAGGGAGCCTGACGTGGGGCTCGATCCCAGGACCCCGGGATCATGACCTGAGCCAAAGGCAGACGCTTAACCGACTGAGCCACTCAGGCGCCCTGAATAGCATTTCTTGATACATACAATTACAACAATATTTTTAAAATTTAGAGATTATTTGTGAAAATGTCGTCTTAAATTACAATGAATTCAAACATTTGTTATTTATAGTTCAATATGTAGCTACAGAGGAAAAATATTAACTAGCAATTGAATTTATGAATCTTTCTGTCCCTTATGTTAACATTGTTTATTTATTTTTTTAATTTAATTTTATTATGTTATTATTATTATGTTGAAAATACATTTATTATTAATTAATAAAATTTTATTACATTACATCACTAGTTTTTGATGTAGTGTTCCATGATTCATTGTTTGCCTATAACACCCAGTGCTGCATTCAATACATGCCCTCCTTAATACCCGTCATTGGGCTAACCCATCCCCCTACCCCTCTCCCCTCTACAACCTTTAGTTTGTTTCTCAGAGTCCATAGTCTCTCATGGTTCGTCTCCCCCTCCCATTTCCCCCCCTTCATTTTTCCCTTCCTACTATCTTCTTCTTCTTCTTTTTTAAACATATAATGTGTTATTTATTTCAGATGTATGGGTCTGATTTATCAGTCTTACACAATTCACAGGGCTCACCATAGCACATACCCTCCCCAATGTCCATCACCCAGCCACCTCTTCCCTTCCAACTCCCCACCACTCCAGCAACCCTCAGTTTGTTTCCTGAGATTAAGAATTCCTCATATCAGTGAGATTTTTTTTAAAGATTTTATTTATTTACTTGACAGAGAGAGACTCAGCGAGAGAGGGAACACAAGCAGGGGAGTGGGAGAGGGAGAAGCAGGCTTCCCGTGGAGCAGGAAGCCTGATGCGGGGCTCCATCCCAGCACCCTGGGATCATGACCTGAGCCGAAAGCAGACGCCTAACGACTGAGCCACCCGGGTGCCCCCCTGGTGAGATCATATGATACTTGTCTTTCTCTGATTGACTTATTTCACTTAGCATAATACCCTCGAGTTCTATCCACATCATTGCAAATGGCAAGATTTCGGGGTTTTTTGATGGCTGCATAATATTCCACTGTGTGTGTGTGTGTATCACATCATCCTAATCCATTCATCTGTCCATGGACATCTAGGCTCTTTCCATAGTTTGGCTATTGTGGACATTGCTGCTATAAACATTGGGGTGCAGGTGCCCCTTCGGATCACTACATTTGTATCTTTGGGGTAGATACCCAGTAATGTATTTGCTAGGTTGTAGGGTAGCTCTATTTTCAACTTTTTGAGGAACCTCCATACTGTTTTCCAGAGTGGCTGCACCAGCTTGCCTTCCCACCAACAGTGTAGGAGGGTTCCCCTTTCTCCACAACCTCGCCAACATCTGTCATTTCCTGACTTGTTAATTTCAGCCATTCTGACTGGTGTGAGGTGGTATCTCATTGAGGTTTTGATTTGGATTTCCCTGATGCCGAGTGATGTTGAGCACATTTTCATGTGTCTGTTGGCCATTTGGATGTCTTCTTTGGAAAAATGTCTGTTCATGTTTTCTGCCCATTTCTTGTTGGATTATTTGTTCTTTGGGTGCTGAGTTTGATAAGTTCTTTATAGATTTTGGATACTAGCCCTTTATCTGATATGTCATTTGCAAATATTTTCTCCCATTCTGTCAGTTGTCTTTTGGTTTTGTGGACTGTTTCTTTTGCTGTGCAAAAGCTTTTTATCTTGATGAAATCCCAATAGTTCATTTGTGCCCTTGCTTCCCTTGCCTTTGGCAATGTTTCTAGGAAGAAGTTGCTGCAGCTGAGGTCAAAGAGGTTGCTGCCTGTGTTCTCCTTTAGGATTTTGATGGACTCCTGTCTCACGTTTAGGTCTTTCAACGATTTGGAGTCTATTTTTGTGTGTGGTGTAAGGAAATGGTCCAGTTTCATTCTTCTGCATGTGGCTGTCCAATTTTCCCAACACCATTTGTTGAAGAGACTGTTTTTTTTCCATTGGACATTCTTTCCTGCTTTGTCAAAGATGAGTTGACCATAGAGTTGAGGGTCCATTTCTGGGCTCTCTATTCTGTTCCATCGATCTATGTGTCTGTTTTTGTGCCAGTACCATACTGTCTTGATGATGACAGCTTTGTAATAGAGCTGGAAGTCTGGGATTGTGAGGCCGCCAGCTTTGGTTTTCTTTTTCAACATTCCTCTGGATATTCAGGGACTTTTCTGATTCTGTACAAAGTTTAGGATTATTTGTTCCAGCTCTTTATAGCTATTTTTAATGTAGTAGTTGTTTTGATTTTTATAATTAGTATTATAAAAAAATGAAATCTTTTCAATGGGATATTTTAATTTTACAGCAGCAAATGAACTTAAGAAATGTAAATTATCACAGTCATTTAACTATGAGATGGTTGAGTTTGATCATAACACCAACATAAGTTACCAATGTAAAGGAAGATCAGAGAACACTCAATCTGCATAAATGGAAGATGGGATCCTGAAATAGCCTGCACAAGTAAGCTCTTATTTATAATATTTTCAAGAATTTATTTGATTTCTAACTTATAAAAGAATGATCTTTGTGTCTTAAAAATTAGCTATTTATTATTCAAATAATTTTCAAGCTGGAGGTAATTTAAAAAATAACCAAAACCCTGCTTCTAAATATTGATTGTATCATGTGTATTAGTCAGCTATATAACAAACCACCTAGAAACCTGGCTTTAAATTAACATCTGGGCAGTAGGTGTACTCATTACTCTTGAAATACCATTGCTTTTAACTCCTTTTATTACACACAAATGTGCCCATACCTATGCCTATAACTAGTAGGTATCTATGTATCTATCTATATATCCATTTATGTGTCTGCCCATGTATGTATTTATGTATGTATTATGTCTCTAATCATCTATTTATTTATGTTTATTTGTCTTGAAACATCTGCATCCTACTAACACCACCAAATGCAACTGAATAGCACAGGCTTTATTCCAGTTTTCCACTTTTCAGATTTTGTATCTCTCTTCTCTATCTGTAGGACACCTTATCTCACTATCTTCAATATTTTAATCAATTTTCTCAAGCCTACAATACATAGAAAGTAGTGTCATACCAATACAAAAACCCACTTTACTATCTACAGTTCAACATATTTTTAGTTCTTTTTAAAAAGAAAATAAGAAATATTTACATGCAATGAAGCACACATGCTCTACATTAACTTTTAGAAGCTTTAGAGTTTTAGCATTTACATTAAGTATATCATCCATCATATATTACTTTTTGAGTTTGGTGTAAAATAGGGGTTGATTTAAAAAAATATATATATAGATGCTAGTAGTTCTAGCGATATGTGTGGAATAGACTTTAAAATGAAAATCAGTTAACTATGTAAATATTGATCTATTTCTTGACTTTGTATCAGCCAATGTATCCATGTATCCTATTCCTGCCACATTGCTTTGGTAACTACAGCTTTATAATAAGTCTTGAAGTCCGATTTGTACTCTCCAATTATGTTCTTGCTATTCAAAATTATTTCACTTATTCTGGTCTTTTCATGTCCATAAAAATTTCAAGGAAAGCTTATGAATTTCTATAAGATATCTGCTTATATAATGAAATGGGTGGTTAATAACAGAAATAACAGAAAATACATAAAATGACAATGATAGCAGTACACATTGAAATCTATGGGACATAGCAAAGGCATAGATATCTATAACTTTAAACCATTCATTATAAATAAGGAACAAAATAAAAGCAATAGGAATTACCATCTAGAATTTAGAAAAGAACATGCACCCAAAGAACTTGGAAGTAATGAACAATTAAAGCATAAATTTTTATAATGAGAAGCTAAAAAAAGCATAAACATCTGGTTTACACAATAATAATTCAGCTTTTAGGGAAATCTGGTAAATACATCAACCTCTGGCAAGACTTATCAAGAGGAAGTACAAGTTTAGATTATTAGGACAAAAATAGTTAAACATCAGACATAGCATTGAAAAAATATGACAAGATACTTAAATATAAGAAAAAATTTTTAAGATTGTATTTATTTATTTGAGAGAGAGAGAGAGCACAAGTGGGAGGAGGGGCAGAGAGAGAGGGAGAGGCAGACTCACTGCTGAGCAGGGAACCCGATGTGGGGATCGATCCCAAGACCCTGGGATCCTGACCTGAGCCGAAGGCAGACGCTAAACAGACTAAGCCACCCAGGCACTCCAAGAAAAAATATTTTTGATGAAATATACAATACTCATATCAACTTAGAAAATTTGACATTAGTAGCGTGGAGGAAGTTTACTCAGTCAAATATTTCCCTGAATTGAATGTAAAATGTGGACAAGTGAAACAATTTTGACAACTTCACAGTGTATACTCACAGAAAACTTTTAATGAAATAAAGATATGGTGTGACAGGAGAAAGCAAAATCAAGAAATCATAGAGAGGTCCAAAAGCTTCCAGGTATAGTCATCCAGAGACTTTTCTCAGTTGACCAGGACATGCTTTGCCTTCAAATTATTAACTGCCCAGATATATCCAAGCTGTCTCAGTTTTATGGGAGTTCAGACAGTTTACAGAGAGGTCTTTTATATCCCACTGGTCATGTAACTAAAGGCAGGCTGTTTAAACATCAAACTGTTCATCAGTCTATATATCTTTAAACAGTGTGGGCAATCTAGTAAATGGTACCTCCAGGGGAGTTTTGGATTTTAAGCAACATACTATAAATCACTACTGAACAAATTTCATTCTTGTCTTGGCCAAGAATTTGTATCAAATCAACTGATGGTTCACTAAATATAATTCTTCCTGTGGCTAATCACCTTCCTTTGGTAGGAAATCCTGTGAAGGTTTTAATCCAATCCCAACACATTTGATTGTGGACTTCTTTAAAAAGTGGCTCAGATGGTTGAGCGTCTGCCTTCGGCTCAGGTCATGATCCCAGGGTCCTGGGATCGAGTCCCACGTTGGGCTCCCTGCTCCTTGGGAGCCTGCTTCTCCCTCTGCCTCTCTCTCTCTCTCTCTCTTCCATGAATGGATAAATAAAAAAAATCTTTGAAGAAAAAAAAACTTAAAAAAAAAAGATCTTGATATCAGTCTTTATTGAGTGCCTGATACTGAGTGAGTAATTCAGCTAGAACATCCTAATGGTTAGAAATAATTAAAAGAGGTTTCATATAAACTATGCAAGATTGATCACAGAAAGAATGAAAGGAAGAAAGTACAAAGAAAACCATGAGAATAAGCCAAATGTGAAGCACCACTGTCCAAGTTGAAGAGTATAACATATTTAAACCTAGAACATGCCATTATTATGTGATCATTTATGATACATCATTTTCAGTTTTCTGCTTAATTATTCTTTTGATATTTTTAACCTATGATTTTTAATCAAGAAATCTAATTTTAATATTTTTAGAGCTACAAACACAGTCATGCCCACCTCCACCTCAGATTCCCAATGCTCAAGATATGACAACTACAGTGAATTACCGGGAAGGAGAAGAAATACCTGTTCTTTGTCAAGAAGATTATGTAATTCAGGATGCAGAAGAAATTGTGTGTCAAGATGGAAGATGGCAGTCAATACCATGCTGTGTTGGTCAGTAATGCACACTTGCTTTATGATGTTCTTTCAAATGACGTTAACACTCCCTGTGCTTTCTGTAAATGAAGAGGAAGACTTTCTCTATATTCCACTTTATCTTGAAACAGTAAATTACAATCTAAGTATACAAATGAATCAGCATTCTTTCACTGCTTCTGTAAAGTGAACACAGACAAAAACTTCAGGTTAATGTAGACATGAGATAAAATTTCCTTTTATGCCTATTTTACCCCTTATGATGAGCAAGACAAGGATGAAGGGACATATTGAAACTCAGAGAATAGCAGCATAGATATTATGGAGACATATATCCTTGCAAGTTGCAAATATTTCAGTTTTAAATGATTTAATTTATTCACATTGTCCTTATTTTAAAATCCCAATCCCATTGATTGTATTTTTCAATGTAAGCATTGTATTGGTGTTTGACTCTTTGATCTCTGTTCTTCGTATAGAAAAGATTCCATGTTCTCAACCACCTCGTATAGAACATGGAATTGTGAAAGCATCTAGTTCTTCAGAAGAAAGGAAAGAAACATTTAAACCCAGGCTTTATGCACATGGCACTAAATTAAGTTATATTTGTGAAGATGGTTTCAGGATATCTGAAGAAGATGGGATAATGTGCTACATGGGAAAATGGAGTTCTCCACCTCAGTGTGTAGGTGAGGACAGGATGCAAACTAAAATTCTATTTTCAATATAATTTATTGAAAATAATCAGTTGTCATCAAAGTCATGATACAGAATCCTTTAGGTTTCTACATATATGAAATCACTTATATCTAAATGTTTAAAATCATTTATATGTTTATGTATTTTGCTAAACCCAATTTTTGTATAGTCAAAACAATCTTATTTGTGTTCATTTCATTGTTCATTATCGAGTCACTTTTAATTATGGCATTTAAAAAATTAAAACTAGATCCATAGTAACACTAAACCTACCTATTTATATAAATTTACCTATTCACATTCTATTTATTTGAGTTGTAGTGCCTGCTTTGCCAGGAGGTTTTTAAAAATTTTATTTTTCCTACAATGTCCCTTCTGATTAGTTACAGTATATGGTACTTTCCTTAAGATGATTAAAAATTCTCAATGCTTTTCTTTTTATTGTTCATTATTGGTTTGAGAAGCATTGAAAGTCTCTTTGATAAATATGTTGACAATTGTAGTTTCAAGTTCTTGCCCAGGTTGGCAGCTGGACACACACCAGAATACTGGTTTTAGGAGCATCTGTGTACCTTCTCTGTGATATGATCATTGTTCCTATGTAATAATTTCTTTTTAAATAAAACTACAAAATATGACAACTAGTACATAAAATTAAATTTCAGAGTTTGTGAAACATGGAGTAATTTTTTTTTCAATTTTTAAAGGACTTCCTTGTTAACCACCATATTTGATGACGCATTGTATTCTACCTCACATATTAGATAGTTACCAGTATGGAGTAAGAAGTCACTTACAACTATGCTGAAGGTTTTGGGATTAATGGACCCACATTTATAAAATATTTAGAAGGAAAATGGTCCCATCCACCAGAATGCATAAGTAGAGTGCCTTTAATTTTACCCTTAATTCAGAGCATAAATGGTACAACTATGAAACTAAATAATACTAGACTTTAACAAGGTATCTCTGGAAAGTTCTGGATTCTGGTAGAGAATTAATAACCCTAATAATAAAAGGTTACAATAAGACCCAAATTATTTCACTTTCCTGTCATCTTGTGTACACTTAGGACAACTTCTGTTATACATTCTCAGACTTCTATTTTCTGTTCCTATACCACAGCTCCTCAATCACATCATTGTTCAATGTACTGTTAGTCTGTCAGTTATCTCCTTATATGTATATAATTTTCTAAGATATTTGACATAGTTAAAGGTAGCAGATTTTGACAGAAGCAAAAATGAGAAATACATGCATGATGCAGGTGGCCTATATGGACAAAAAAGAATTCAAATGTAAGTAGTATGGTCTCAAGCATTACATGTATTCGTATTTCTCTAGGCTTTTTATATCACCATTCCCCTGTTATACTTTAGATAAACATAGAACCACTCACTAAACCCTACTCCTGAAACCAATATTACACTATATGTTAACTAACTAGAATTTAAAGAAAAAGTTAAAAAAAAGGAAAACAAAAAGAACCATTCAATGTAATTACGTCAAGACTTCTAACTTATTTTTTTCAAGTTATAAGAAAAATTTTGTACAGTATTCATTGGTTTGATATGTACCTGTTGTTCTAGATTATAGTTATTGGCCATTATGTGTTTTTAAAGATTTACTGAACAAGTACCTATTCTTTTTCTTTCAGAAATGTATTGTTCTAGTTTACCTGACTTTGGTGATGCCATGCTCATAGGCCCAAAGAAGGAATCATATAGATCAGAAGAAAAAGTGACTTATACATGTCCAGAATATTACCAATTGGATGGATCCAATATTGTACAGTGTATTAAGAGCCAATGGATGGGAAGGCCGATATGCAGACTTTAATGAAATCTATGTATTAAAGTGTCTTAAGAATATAATGTAGAATTGCCTCTAGCATCATTAAAAAAATGGACATAGATTATTTTTTAAAGGCCAGAACAAAGGTTTATGCCTCAACATAAAGGGATGAAATTGTGTACCCACTGGGTAATCTTATAGCCCAGTGGTTCTCAAAGTGTGGTCTCTGGAATAGCAGCATCAGCCTCTTTTGGGAAATTGATAGAAATGCAAATGCAAATTCTCAGGTTCACTCAGACCTATTGAGTCAAAAACATGGGCATGCAACCCTGAAAACGTCTTAATAATTCCCAAGGGATTCAATGTACACTCCAGTTTAGGAGCCATGCTATAGCTTATTACACTTTATATCCACCTCAATTTGAGCAATGAATTATACTTTACTCATTATAGCATCCTTAAGCATTTGCCAAAAAAAAAAATCATTAAAGAGTGTTTTTATAAATTATATATTTGTTTTTCTGTTATTTTCTCTATCTCCTGTTTGGATCCTCAGTTAATCATCTTCATCCTTTAACTATGGTATTCTTCAAAGTGCGTTAATTCTTAATTTATTCTCTAAGGAAGTGCCTACTGTGTTTATTTTTTTAAGGGCCTAAAATTACTTTCATAAATAGGATGATTGCAAGCCCAATTCTGATGTCAAATAATATTTTTATTATGATTTCTTATGGTTTATAAATCTATTTTGAGTTTATCTGATTCGTAATATTGATTTTATTGAACTCAAAGGGAAATGTCCAGAAAAACTATTTTCATAGAAGCTTAAATCTTATAAAAATATTGCTTTATCTCCTTTTCTGCAATCTTACATATAAATTTCTTTCTTTCTTTCTTTCTTTAAAGATTATTTATTTATTTGACAGGAAGAGGGAGAAAACAAGCAGGGGGAGGGGCAGAGGGAGAGGGAGAGGCAGGCTCCTCCCCAAGCAGGGAGCCAAAGGCTCCCTGGGATCATGACCTGAGCCAAAGGCAGACGCCCGAAGACTGAGCCACTCAGGCGCCCCTTACATATAAATTTCTTAAAATTAGCAGTCTACCATGAAAGATTAAATATTGATTTTAAGTCCTTGAAATATATTTGGAATCTCATTTGTTGATTTATTACTCAAAATGATCATTACATTAGAGATGCTACTTTTTTCTTTCTCAGATGTTTCCTGTGTGAATCCACCCAGAGTGAAAAATGCTATTATATTAAATGAGATGCCTAGGTATCTACCTGGTCAGAGAATATGTCATGTATGCATCAAAATTCAAAAAAAAAATTTTTTTTTTTTTTTGCGGACTGAACTAAGTAATGTAGTGTATTTCTTTCTTTCTTTTTTTAAAAAATTTTATTTTATTTTATTATGTTAGTCACCATATAATACATCATTAGTTTTTGATGTAGTGTTCCATGATTCATTGTTTTCATATAACACCCAGCGCTCCATGCAGTACGTGCCCTCTTTAATACCCACCACTGGGCCAACCCATCCCCCACCCCTCTCCCCTCCAAAACCTTCAGTCCGTTTCTCAGAGTCCATAGTCTCTCATGGTTCGTCTCCTCCTCCAATTCCCCCCCATTCATTTTTCCCTTCCTTCTCCTAATGTCCTCCATGCTATTCCTTATGGTCCACAAATAAGTGAAACCATATGATAATTGACTTTCTCTGCTTGACTTATTTCACTTAGTATAATCTCCTCCAGTTCCATCCATGTTGATGTGAGTGTTGGGTATTCATCCTTTCTGATGGCTGAGTAATGTTCCATTATATATCTGGACCACATCTTCTTTATCCATTCATCTGTTGAAGGGCATCTCGGCTCTTTCCACAGTTTGGCTATTGCGGACATTGCTGCTATGAACATTGGGGTGCATATGGCTCTTCTTTTCACTACATCTGTGTCTTTGGGGTAAATACCTAGTAGTGCAATTGCTGGGTCAAAGGGTAGCTATATTTTTAATTTTTTGAGGAACCTCCACACTGTTTTCCATAGTGGCTGTACCAACTTGCATTCCCACCAACAGTGTAAGAGGGTTCCGCTTCCTCCACAATCTCTCCAACATTTGTTGTTTCTTGCCTTGTCAATTTTTGCCATTCTAACTGGTATAAGGTGGTATCTCAATGTGGTTTTGATTTGAATTTTCCTGATGGCTAATGATGATGAACATTAGCCATTTGTATGTCTTCTCAGAGAAGTGTCCGTTCATGACTTCTGCCCATTTTTTGACTTGATTATTTGTTTTTTGGGTGTAGAGTTTGAGAAGTTCTTTATAGATCTTGGAAATCAGGACTTTGCAAATATCTTCTCCCATTCCATGGGTTGCCTCTTTGTTTTGTTGACTGTTTCCTTTGCTGTGCAGAAGCTTTTTATCTTGATGAAGTCCCAAAAGTTCATTTTTGCTTTTGTTTCACTAACGTTTGGAGATGTACCTTGAAAGAAGTTGCTGTGGCCGATGTCGAAGAGGTTACTGCCTATGTTCTCCTCTAGGATTTTGATGGATTCCTGTCTAAATTGAGATCTTTCATCCATTTTGAGTTTATCTTTGTGTATGGTGTTAGAGAATGGTCGAGTTTCATTCTTCTGTATATAGGTGTCCAATTTTCCCTGCACCATTTATTGAAGAGAGTGTCTTTTTTCCATTGCATAATTTTTTCCTGCTTTGTCGAAGATTATTTGACCATAGAGTTGAGGGTCCATATCTGGGCTCTCTATTCTGTTCCATTGGTCTATATGTTTGTTTTTGTGCCAGTACCATGCTGTCTTGGTGATCACTGCTTTGTAATATAGCTTGAAATCCGGCAACATTACGCCCCCAGCTTTGTTTTTCTTTTTCAACATTTCCTTGGTGATTCACGGTCTTTTCTGATTGCATACAAATCTTAGGATTCTTTGTTCCAGCACTTTGGAAAATGTCATTGGAATTTTGATTGGGATGGCATTGAAGATATAGATTGCTCTGGGTAGCATAGACATTTTGATAATGTTTATTCTTCTGATCTATGAGCATGGAATGTTTTCCATCTTTTTGTGTCTTCTTCAATTTCTTTCATGAGTGTTCTGTAGTTCCTAGAGTATAGACCCTTTACCTCTTTGGTTAGGTTTATTCCAAGGTATCTTATGGCTTTTGGTGCTATTGTAAATGGAATCATTTCTCTAATTTCTCTTTCTATAGTTGCATTGTTAGTGTATAAGAAAGCAATTGATTTCTGTGCATTGATTTTGTATCCTGCCACATTACTGAATTGCTGTATGAGTTCTAGTAATTTGGGGGTGGAGTCTTTTGGATTTTCCACATAAAGTATCATGTCATCTGCAAAGAGACAAAATTTGACTTCTTCTTTGCAAAATTGAATACCTTTTATTTCTTTTTGTTGTCTGATTGCTGTTGCCAGGACTTCTAGTACTATGTTGAACAATAGTGGTGAGAGTGGGCATCTTTGACATGTTCCTGATCTTAAGGGAAAGGCTCTCATCTTTTCCCCATTGAGGATGATATTTGCTGTGGGTTTTTCATAGATGGATTTTATGAGCTTGAGGAATGTTCCCTCTATCCCTATGCTCTGAAGAGTTTTAATTAGGGAAGGATGCTGTATTTTGTCAAATGCTTTTTCTGCACAAATTGAGAGGATCATATGGTTCTTCTCTCTCCTCTTATTAATGTGTTCTATCACATTGATTGATTTGTGAATGTTGAACCACCCTTGCATCCCGGGGATAAATCCCGCATGGTTGGGTGAATGATCTTTTTAATGTATTGTTGGATCCTATTAGGATTTTGTTGAGAATTTTGGAATCCATATTCATCAGGGATATTGGTCTGAAATTCTCCTTTTTGATGGGGTCTTTGCCTGGTTTGGGAATTAAGCTAATGCTGGCCTCATAGAATGAGTCTGGAAGCTTTCCTTCTGCTTCTATTTTTTGAAACAGTTTCAGGAGAATAGGTGTTATTTCTTCTTTGAATGTTTGGTAGAATTCCCCAGGGAATCCATCAGGCCCTGGACTCTTGTTTTTTGGGAGGTTTTGGTCACTGCTTCAATCTTGTTACTGGTTATTGGCCTATTCAGGTTGTCAATTTCTTCCTGTTTCAGTCTGGCAGTTTATAGGTTTCCAGGAAGGCATCCATTTTTCCAGATTGCTCAATTTATTGGCATATTGTTGTTGATAATAATTTCTAATAATTGTTTCTATTTCCTTGGTGTTAGTCGTGATCTCCCCCCTTTCATTCATTTTATTAATTTGGGTCCTTTCTCTTTTCTTTTGGATAAGTCTGGCCAGTGGTTTATTGATCTTATTAATTCTTTCAAAGAACCAGCTTCTAGTTTCATTGATCTGATCTACTGTGTTTCTGGTTTCTAATTCATTGATCTCTGCTCTAATCTTAATTATTTCTCTTCTAATGTGTGGCTTAGGCATCGTTTGTTGCTTTTTCTCTAGTTCTTTAAAATGTAAAGTTAGTTGGTGAATTTGGGATTTTTCTATTTTTTTGAGTGAGGCTTGGATGGCTATGTATTTCCCCCTTAGGACTGCCTTTGCAGTATCCCATAGGTTTTGGACCAATTTGTTTTCATTCTCATTGATTTCCATGAATTGTTTAAGTTCTTCTTTAATTTCTTGGTTGACCCAAACATTCTTAAGCAGAGTGGTCTTTGGCTTCCAAGTATTTGAATTTCTTCCACATTTTTTCTTGTGATTGAGTTCCAGTTTTAAAGCCTTATAGTCTGAGAATATGCAGGAAATAATCTCAGTCTTTTGGTATCGGTTGAGACCTGATTTGTGACCCAGTGTGTGGTCTATTCTGGAGAAAGTTCCGTGTGCTCTCGAGAAGAATGAGTATTCTGTTGTTTTAGGGTGGAATGTTCTGTATATATCTATGAGATCCATCTGGTCCAGTGTGTCATTCAAAGCTCTTGTTTCTTTGTTGATTTTCTACTTAGATGATCTGTCTATTGCTGAGAGTGGAGTACTGAGGCCTCCTACAATTAACGTATTGTTATCAATACGAGTCTTTATTTTGGTTAACAGTTTGCTTATGTAGGTAGCTGCTCCCATGTTGGGGGCATAGATATTTACAATTGTTAGATCTTCTTGTTGGATATACACTTTAAGAGTGATATAGTGTCCTTCTGTGTCCTAACTACAGTATTTAGCTTAAAATCTAATTTGTCTGATATAAGAATTTCTACCCCAGCTTTCTTTTGAGATCCATTGGCATGGAAGATGGATCTCCATCCCTTCACTTGCAGTCTGGATGTATCTTTAGGTTCAAAATGAGTCTCTTGTAGACAGCATATGGATGGGTCCTGTCTTTTTATCCAATCTGCAACCCTGTGCCATTTTATGGGAGTATTTAGGCCGTTCACATTGACAGTGATTATTGAAAGATATGAATTTATTGTCATCATGTTGCCTGTGAAGTCCTTGTCTCTATAGATTGTCTCTGTAACTTTCTGTTCTATATCACTCTTGGGGTGTTTTTCCTTTTATAGAACCCCTCCTTAATATTACTTGCAGGGCCGGCTTAGTGGTCACATATTCTTTCAGTTTCTGCCAGTCTTGGAAGCTCTGCATCTCTCCATCCATTCTAAATGAGAGCCTTGCCAGATGAGGTATTCTTGGCTGCATGTTCTTCTCGTTTAGTACCCTGAATATGTCTTGCCAGGCCTTTCTGGCTTGCCAGGTCTCTCTGGATAGGTCTGACTTTATTCTGATGTTCCTCCCTCTGTATGTAAGGAATCTCTTCCCCCTAACTGCCCTTAAGATGGTTTCCTTGGTTCTAAGATGTGCGAGTTTTACTATTACATGCCGTGGTGTTGGCCTGTTTTCCTTGATCTTGGGAGGGGTCCTCTCTACCTCTAGGACACTAATGTTTGTTTCATTCTGCAGATTAGAGAAGTTCTCAGCTACGATTTGCTCAAATATATATTCTAGTCCTCTCTCTCTCTCCCCCCTCAGGGATCCCAATAATTTTGACATTGGAAGTTTCATGTTGTCAATTATTTCTCTGATTCTATTTTCATGGATTTTTATTTTTTATGTTATTTTTTATTATGTTAATCACCATACATTACATCATTAGTTTTTGATGTAGTGTTCCATGATTCATTGTTTGCGTATAACACCCAGTGCTCCATTCAGTACGTGCCCTCTTTAATACCCATCACCAGGCTAACCCATCCCTCCACCCCTCTCCCCTCTAGAACCCTCAGTTTGTTTCTCAGAGTCCACAGTCTCTCATGGTTCATCTCCCCCTC